TTTAGCTTTAAATTTTTTATAAATATTGATTTTTTTTTAATTAGATAACAGCGGTCCCGGCCGCATCGCAGCCGGGGGGTCTCCCTGCCGCCCCGGTGCTGCATCCCCTGGTCGGGCTGCTCCGGCTGCCGCCCCGGTGCTGCATCCCCTGGTCGGGCTGCTCCGGCTGCATCCCCCAGGGGGACTGGGGGCGATGCACCTCATCGGAGGGCGTCACCCGCTCTCCCCGGGCATCCCTCGGTGCTCACCGTGCCTTTGGCACGAGCTGCGGGGTTGGGAGCTCCCGGCAGCGGCTCAGGGATTCCAAACCCTCCTGATTTTTCCTCCCCGCCACGTGCAGGTGTGCGGGGACCGGGTGGACGAAGGAAGGCCAGCAGGGGGGAGAGCTGCGGCGGCGCCCCGGGAAGCACGCCTGCATGGGGCTGCCGCACCGCTCGGCAAGCAGGGATTTCCCGGTAAACGTTCGGGAAGGGGATGGTGCAGCTTCTGGCTTCCTCCTGGTCCCACCAGCGCCTCCATCTAACTGCGCATCACCGACATGGATGCGAGGGGTCTCTGCGTATGTGGTGGAGAAGGGCGATGGAGAAGAGCCGTCCCGGGGAGCAGCAGGGACCGTTCCCGGATGGCAGGTAGGACCCAAATCGTCTCTCGGGGGCTGGGGGCACCCCGGGGCTGAGACGCCGGCGCAGCGAGCGGCTGACCTCCCCCTCGGCCAAGTTGTTGCAACAGCGGGGAGGAAGGTCAGGTCCCCCGCAGGAGGGTGCCGGGGCTGACGTCAAAGGAAGCAGCTGGTGATTCACGGGTTCTTGGGAGCGCGGGGCTCCGGGGCCGTAACTCATCCCAGAAATGGCATTTCATCCTTGAGTGTTATCGCTGCTCTGCCGTCGCCCACCGCTCCTGGCCCCGTGCAGATAAACCCGCCTGTGGGGGAGCGACGGGGGCTGCCCCCCGCTCCCAGCCCCGGGTTCAGTGGCTTAATACACTTAATATTCAGCGTTCTGTAGGCTGCGAGGCTGCGTTAGCGCCGGGCTCTGTGGCGTGGAGGGGAGGACTACGCATCCTCCAAAGCACTCGTGTCCGTGCGATGTGTGTGAAGCATCCATGGTGCTGCCCTGCCGTGCGTGGCCGTTCCCGGTGCCACGCATGGATTTGAAGGTGCCGGGGGGTCCCACTCTGCGGGGTTTGGTGACTGGGGCTGCCAGCGCGGCCAGGGGTCTGCAGTGGTGTCTGGTCCTGGCGGGGGGACACACACAGGCTGTCCGGGTTCTTCTGTCTGAGGTTGGACTGAGCCTGGTTCTGCTTGTTCTGGGATGGTTGTGCTGTGAAGTGGTGTTATCCATCATTATTTGTTATCTGTTATTATCCGTTGTTATCCGCCTTTATCCGTTGTTACCTGTCATAGTTGATTGTTATCCCTTGTTATCCACGGCTGATGAGCCGTGCGGGGGCAGCCGTGCCGTGGCCCCCAGGTTTGCCCCCGGCACGGGGATCGCCTGCAAAGCATCCTACGAGCCGAGCGGGGATGCTGCGCCTCCTGGCCCAGCCTCATCCCATCCCCAGGGACATGCCCGATACCTGGTAGTGGGG